CACATAAAATGCATAAAATGGAAGCAAGGCTAAGGTGCCCAGAGTCCATTAGCTCGGCCCCAGCTCCCTCCTAATCGGTTCTGGGGCACAGCGTGAACACTGGTGAATCGGAGGCCCCTCCGCTCTGCTGAGAGCTGTGCTGCCCTCGGCCTTCTGCGCTTGGGGAAGCTCCCGGCTCTACAAGCGTGGCCCTGGGCCACTCACGCTGGGTGGCCTGGACGAGTGTGTGCCATGGCTATAGCCAGGACAGGGCAGCAGGGCCCGCAGGAAGGACAGGGCACTGGATCAGGAGCCAGGAGCCCCACGTTCTCGCCTAAGCTGCACTGGTCAGCCGTGGCTCTGTCCACCAGCCTGTGACAGCCCTCCACGCCACCCGTACGACAAGGGATTCCAGCCCCGCCAATGCTAAGAGTCAGTGACCTGTGACACACTGGACAGAGAGCATCTTGAAGCACCTGCTGGCTCTCAAACATGGCCATTTGCTTTCACACTGACTGTTAAGCCTTTCTCCTTGGATGAAGTTAACCACAATATGCACTTTCTAAAGTAAACTGCACTCTTTGGACGGTCTCACAGCCACTCACAGCCGCTCCAGAACTACCAGGCACAGTGCCAGGCACTGAGGGTCACTCCCTGCCTAACTGTTCAAAGAAAACCAAGTGACTAATTCTTAATTCGGTTACATTTAGAGACCAACTTGTACACAAACAGCGCATGAACACCTTTTACGAAGTTGTGGGTTCAAGTGGATTAAATGCACCGGCATTCATTAGTAAGAGCAAAGCTCTAAACTGTCCCCAGGTAAAGAAGCAGCTAACAGTTCACGCCATTCAAATCCAGGTCCTCGCTCAGGGCCAGTCTGCTCCGCGACCCCAGGGCAGCAGGGTGTGAGGCACGAAGGACCTACCTCAGCACCACCACGATGGGGCTCTCGCTGCCGGTGAGGACGATCAAGCCTTTCCAGATCATGAGTGCGGAAGACACGATCATGGCAAAGTTTAAGACCTGGTAATAGAGCTGCAACGAGAAAGGCCAGACCCGCGTGAGCACCAGCGGCAGACCATTCACCAGCCAGCGCAGAAGAAGCACTCGTGAAGTCAGACAAGCGTGGGGCCTGAAACTAATTCACACAAGGAAGACTTGGGTAGAACTTAAACTCTGATCCATGGCATAAGCTATCCAGGGCCTTCCAATTTACACACTTATCCATGGAACAAGCCTTCTAATAATACTTCAAGACTAATCCATGGGGCCCACTTTACTACAGTCCCAAGGCAGCCCCACTAAATGCTCTGGGATTCCCCAGGACCTTAACCCCTAAAGGGTTCCGAGGGCACTCAGCTTCCACCACCAGAGCCGCCTGCTCTAGATCAGACGCCGACGCAGCTCCACGCAGACAGCAGCTGTCCAACCCTGGGGGCCGGGCACATGTCGTGTGGGTGCACCTGCAACTCTCCTCTACCCACAAGGCCTCAAACAGAAACCTGCGAGGACTTAGCTATGAATCATTCTGCTTCTGAAAATTACATTTTACCATTGAACACAAATTTTATAGAGATCTGAACGTTTACATTGTCTGTGATTTGAAAGGTAAACAAATACCCGGTTAAGAACACAGGCAGGAAGTGAAAGTGTCTGGCATGGTGGTTAGGGAGCCAGCTGGGATGCCCACATCCCACACAGCAGTGCTTAGGTCCACGTCCCAACTCCATTCCTGACTCCAGCTCCCTGCTGGTGCCTACCGAGGGAGGCTCAGTGGCTGCGTCCCTGCCACCTATGGGCAGCCCCAGGTTGGAGTCCTCCATGTCCTGCAGGAAGCCTCCTGACTTGGGGCAGCTCAGTCTTCCCCTTCACAACTCCTGTGCTGTCAACGTGATTGGCAGAGCCATGGGGCTGGTCCCTCCACCCCTCCGTCTCTATTCCTGGTCCTGCTCATCTCCGGTGACCCCCTCCCCTTCCCCTGGACCAGCCACTCCCAGCAACATGCCCTAGCAAGGAGAATTCTGACCCAACATCTCTAATCCAAGTTCCCCTCTCCCCTGGCCGCATACACCTGTCCTGGCACTGGTCTCGCCGAGGCGTTAGGACTCTGCCCTTTCCAGATGGCCACCCTCACTTCTGTCTTGCCATCCTTGGCTTGCAGTATGTGGAGCCACTTACGGACAGTATCCAACCCTCCCCCAGGCCAGGCAGCCCTCACCCCAGGAACGTCTCTTGACCCCTCCAGGGGGCAAACCTCCAGACCTCTGCTGGGGGGAAGACATCCGAGTGGAGAGGGCGGACAGCCAGGCTCTCCTGCTTCTCAGCTCCTCCGTGCACTCTAACGCAGGTTGGCCCTACCCCGCTTCACGGCGACGCCTGCCCTGCCGAGCCTCGGGTGTCTGCAGTGGAGTCATCCTTAGCTCCACCACCCGCCCCTTGGGGTTCCGGCTTTCTCAGGTTCTCCCATCTCTAGCTTCTAGCATTGTGCTGATCTTTCCTTCCCTGGACTCCTTATCTTGGAGTAACTGATGTCCCTTCCAATCTCCTTGCTGTAGTTGCAGTGACGTTTCAGAGGAAGACAAATGCCACAGGGGAGACCCTGCCCGAGTTACCTCCCAGCTTACCAGAGCATCTGGAGTGAGCCTGGAACCTGGACCAGACCACATGGCTTTGAACAGCATCGTTTCTTCAAATACCCCCAATTTAATTTTAACTGAGAATATGGGGGTGTGGACTCTTTCTGAGGACAAGATACAGTTTGAAATGCAGATTCGAACACAGTTTAAAATACGGCAAGATAGGGGCCGGCACTGTGGCATAGCGGGCTAAGCTGCTGCCTGCAGTGCCGGCATCCCATATGGGCGCCTGTTGGAGTCCTGGCTGCTGCACTTCTGATCCAGCTCCCTGCTAATGCTCCTGGGAAAGCAGTGGAAGATGGCCCAAATCCTTGAGCCCCTGCACACTTCACGGGAGACCTGCAAGAAGCTTCTGTCTCCTGGCTTCGGCCTGGCCTAGCCCTGGCTGTTGCAGCCACTTGGGGAGTGAACCAGAATGTTAAGATCTCTCTCTCCTCCCTCCACCCCTGTGTAACTCTTTCAAATAAATAAAAAAATTTTTAAAAAAGTACAGCAAGACAGTTTTTAAAGCGCATGAGGCCTGGGGCCGGCGCTGTGGCGTAGCAGGTAAACCCGCCGCCTGCAGTGCCAGCATCCCTTATAGGCACCGGTTCAAGTCCCAGCTGCTCCATTTCCAATCCAGCTCTCTGCTATGGCCTGGGAAAGCAGTGGAAGATGGCCCAAGTCCTTGGGTCCCTGCACCCAAGTGGGAGATTCAGAGCAAACTCCTGGCTCCTGGCTTTAGATCGGTATAACTCCGGCCATTCCGGCCATCTGGGGAGTGAACCAGCAGATGGAAGACCTCTCTCTCCCTTTCTGCCTTGGTCTCTCTCTAACTCTGCCTTTCAAGTAAATAAATCTTTTTTAAAAAATGCATGAGGCCTGGAGAAGCGCAGTTAGACAGTAAGCCCTCATAGGGACGTGCACTGTGGCTTTAAGTTCTGACTTGGAGTGTGTAGACAGTCTCTCATGGCAGTGGCTCTGTAATGTCAGCATACCGTAAGGAGAACTGCATTTCCAACCTGTCCCCAGGTGCTGCTGCAGCTGCAGGTCTTGGACCACAGCTGGGGTGGCCCTGCCCTGCCCTGCCTCTGGGAAAAGGACTGACAGCTCATGGGAGGGGCCGGGAGGAGCCGGGAGCACCCTCAGCAGCAGCCCCGGGACTCTGCTGCACTGCCAGCTGAACCACTGCCCTCTCTCTCCTTCCATCAGGCTCAGCCCCGCCCAGTTCTCTCTTCTCTCCTCTCCTCTTCTCTTCTCCACAGCAAAGCCCCTCAGAACACTTCCACCCAGGGAGAAGTCTTGGAAGCCACTCTCTGCCACCTTCTGTGCTTTCTGCCCGTTCCGGCTCCTTTACCTGCACTGCTACCATCATGCCGCTGCTCCCCATGCTGACGGCCCCAACTGCCTGCCAGACCTTTCAACTTGGGTGTCTTTTTTTTTTAATTTATTTGAAAGCCAGAGTTAGAGAGAAAGCGCTAGCTCTTCCATCCGCTGGTTCACTCCCCAAATGGCTACAACAGCCAGGGCTGGACCAGGCTGAAGCCAGGAGCTTCAGGTCTCCCACGTGGGTGCAGGGGCCCAAAGACTTGGCCCATCTGTTGCTGCTTTCCCAGTTGCATTAGCAGGGAGCTGGATTCCAAGTGGAGCAGACAGTGAAGCAGGCACTACTGGGATGCCGGCTTAACCTGTTAGGCCACACCAGTCCCCACCTGGATGTTTTTAAAAGAAACTCCACCCGAGGGTGTCAAAGCTGAACTTAACTTCTCCAAACAGCTTTCCGAGATGGTGATGCCTATCTCAGCCAGCTCTCTGTAGCCACCCCCTACCCACCCGTCCCACAAACGCTACCTTCGAGACATTTCTGGGGTCTCTTTCTTCTGGCTGTTCCCACTGCCACCAGTCTCATTCACTTACAGAGCCCATCCGGGCCCCACAGGAGCCTCTGCCGGATCTCCTGATGTCCACACTCAGTCCTCGTTTGCACACTCCCTCCGCTCCTGTCCATGCCCCTCTTACAGCCCTTCAATTGCACTCCACTGCTCTGAGAATGGAGACAGCCTCAGTACGGCCTTCAAGGCACTGTGACTCCCCGGCCGAGGCACGGGCGGCTTCCGGACGTACCTCCGGCAGCACCTGTCCTTTCCGCTCCCGGGCCCCCACCCCAACCCAGCCACTGCCTCTGCCCACAGGGCTCCCTGCCCAAAGCCCTCGATGTACCAACTACTCACGCGCCTCTGGGAATCACTTTCTTGACTTGCTAGCCCTGATGACAGCACTTTGTATAAGAAAGGGCCAGACAGGAGCTGTTTTTGTGTTACCACATTGTGTGTGCTGAAACCATGGAACGCTGCCCTGATGGTGGCAACGAGGCTACAGACAACACGTGAGAATGAGCAAAGCTGTGTTCTGACAAAACTTTATTTGTAAAAACAGGCAGCGCACTGCAGTTTGCCAACCGTCGCGGCAGGCCAGCCTGGGCCCTCCTGTTCTGTGCTCTGACTGCGTCCCGCACCTGCTCAGAGCAGCCATCGCCATCATGATTTTGCCTATAATTACTTAACATGTCTTTCACACCAGACTGTAAGCTCCACCAAGGCGGGCGTCATTTTGACCTTGTTCACAGACCATCCCCCAACACAGGTCTGGCAAAAAGTGAGTGGAATAAATAGTGTAAAATAAATAGCTTTAATACATGGTGAGGGGAAACAAACTAGCAGTTAAAGAAAAAAAGGAAAACCCTAAAATCTCCCCTCCCCCAAGAGGTCAAAGCTTAAAAGGATAATTTCCCAAGTACAAGTAACAGTCCAGCCTCCCTCCTCCCATCCTTTTCCACCAGGAGGTCTGAAGCTTTGTGTTTTCATGCTAATCCTCAAATGTACACTGTGGCCGGCCGTTAGTATCAGATTTTCTTCTTGGTTCAATACTCTACTTCTAGAGAGTCAGTCTAAAATAAAGGCAAATGGGGGATCATGGCCCAGAGATCTTTTCTCACAATGCTAATCCTAATAACATGGAAATGCAAATAAATGAGTGGCACTGGCGAGCTGATTGAGCTGGGGCGGAGAAATGGCCGATGACTCCACCATTTAAGACAACTCAGAAAGAACTTGCATGACATGAGCACACACTTGAACAATGTTGATGGAAAAATGGAAGCTGCGTAGGCTCTCAGCAAACTACACGACTACAAGGAGGCGCCCAAGACGCTGAGAGAGGCCATCTTAGGAAGCTGGGAGTGTGGTCACTGAATTCTCTTCTTTAAGCTATTCTCCACTCTTTAAAATTCCAATGGTGAACATGGATTAATTCCAAAATCTAGGAGAAAGAAAGCATTTAAAGGAAGTGAAATGAGACAGACTATCACACAGCTATTAACATAACCATTGTACAGAGTGTGACACACCCAAGAACACGGTCTGATCTGAAAGGCAGGACAAACCATGAAAGCTGTCCCTTGCTAATATGACAACTTCGTGAAAATAAATAATGTCAGGCAATTATAAGGGATACAACTGAAAGTGGGGACATTAAAAGTGAATTAAAACAACAGTTAAGGTATTTTGGTACAGTAAAAACAGAACAGTAAATATAATTCAATATTGAAGCTACATACCATTTTGTAACTACTTGGTTACTGTGTCAATAACAGTTACTAAAGCAAACCCAGCTTTGCAAGCGCCAGCGGCGGAAAGCAGATGCTCACTGCAGTCCACGTGCAAAACTCCCCCACCTGCTCGGCTTGTTTCCTTATGAATCACAGATCTGATCAGGAAAGTGCCGGGGAAGCCTGCCACTGTGAGACAGTTTTCAAACCAGAGGGCTCCGCTCAATCACAGCAAGTGATGCTGAAACCACAGATGGCACTTCCAACACCCTTATTAAATAAAAAAAAAGTTACTCAAAGATGGAAACAGACTGCTGGAGAGAGAGAGCTTCCAACTGCTGGTTCACTCCCTAAACGGCCACAACACCCAAAGCCAGGAAGCTGGAACTTAATCTGGGTCTTCGACCTGGGTGGCAGGGGCCCAAGAACTAGAGCCATCCCCTGCCGCCTCCCAGGGTCCGCATTAGCAAAAGCTGGAATTGGACGCAGAGCCAGGACTTGAACCCAAGCCCTCCGATGTGGATGTTGCGTCTCAGCACTGCACCAAACACCTGCCCCCTAACGCCCACCCCTTAAGGCACCTGCTAACCTTGGCATTGGCTTGAAATCATGGAATCTAGAAATGTGGCTGTGATTGAACTCCCGAAAGCTGAACTTGTCACTGAGGCTTTGTTGTTGGCCCTCCTTGCCTACCTAGCAACTTTGAACACTCAGCACTTAAAGCCCTAGCACAGCAGAGGAAGTCCACACTTGGGGACTGTCCACCAAAGAAGAAATCGCCAGTGTCCGTAGGAGTTTTGAAAAAACGTCTCAGACCAGATATTCTGGCTGACAGAGCTGCAGCGAGCGCCAGTAGCTGTGTTTCTTCCTCTCTCGCTCCCTGCAGAAACAAAGAGCCCTTGTTCTGCGCGCAGCTCTTGCCTCAGTCACCAGCAGGCAGGGGCAGAGGAGGAGGGAGGTCTTCTGGGACTGGTGGAGCCTGCAAGGCTGTCAGGGTGTCAGAGGAGACCACTTAGGAGGGAAAAAGAAAAAGAAGCAATAGGACAAAGCTAAAAAAAAAAAAAAAAAAAAAAAAAAAAAAAAAAAAAAAAAAACAGTATCAAGCAGCAGTGGACTTGAACTGCTGGATTTTAATTAGAAGACTATCAAACAGGCAAGGCAGCCAGCTCCCGTCAGGCCTTATTAAGGAGAGCAGGAACACACAGACCTTGCAAAGGGCAGGCTGGCTTAGGGATCCGTACATTCGCCCAAAAGCCTTCTCTGATGCTCTGTAATTGTAACTCAATTAGAGAGTGAGTAATGCATACCAGTTTGAGAGGCTTGTCAGAAACCTCCCCTCTCCGTCTAGATCTTTAAATAAAGCTCTGTTTCCTGGGGGCGCTCCATGGGGACAGCGTCCCTGCTCAGCACCTGGGCTGCCGGCTTCTCAGACATGACGTGCTCTGCCACCGTAACCGCAGAAACTCACAGGACCTCTTCAGTGGTGCACACCTGGCCAACCGGGTCCTCGGCGTAGCTCATGAAATCCAAGTCCCCAAACTCGCTCACCCCACTGCAGCAGTCAGGGGGAAAAGACAGACCCATGCCCAAAGAGCAACTTGTGTCCTGTGGTGGGCATCGCCCCGTACCCAACAGAATGGAACGAATGGAACTGGATGCCGCTGACTCAAGAAACAAGTGCCAGTTTCAAAGTCCCATGATAAAGTCTCATTTTTCTCAGCACAGTTCCTTATGTGCTGTAACAGTGGTGTTAGCAGCCATCACGATATGGGCGCCCTGTGGGTTCCCCCAATTCTCTCTCTAGAAGCTTAAGCAATCACATTTTCCCTGCGTGGGGCAGCGTCCTTCCCAGTGCCTACACAGTCTTGCCGTGTAGTCAAGAGATAAGGATCGCACGCTGTAACAGGTGCAGTAACAGGCTGAGCGCGCCGGGGGGAGGTTTTCCTCCAAGGCGCTCTCAGGGCTGAGAAGTCGATCCAGCTGCCCAGGAAAGAGCCCTGGGAGCCCTCTCGGAACACCGGTTCGGTCCAGGACGCCGAGCGCCGCCGGTGCGCTCTCCAGGCACAGCGAGCACTAAGCAAGGACGCACGGCCGGGAAAGAAACTGCTGGGCAGCTCCCACGGTCACAAAGTTCTTCCCCCGCCCGCCACTTCCACCCGCGCGCGGCCAGGCCTCTGCGGCCCCACCGGGAAATCTGCTCGCTCTCCACCGAGCGGCCCTTCAAACGCGCGCCGACAGCTGTCACTCACGCCCGGCTCATCTCTCCTCGCTCTCAACCATGTTTGACATCCATTGCTCCCCGTCCTGGCCAACGTCCCTCAGGTGGGCTGTTGTTGGTGCAAGAAAGCACACGCATATGCCCACACGTGGGTCCGGGAGGACCTGAACCCAGGGCCTTCGAGAGCCCAGCGCGGGAGCTGCGGGCCGCCGCCCGCCCGCAATCGCCGGAGCCCTACCCCGGGAGTTCGGACTGCAGGCAGCGACCGCGCCACCCACCCAGGACCCCGGTACCTGGCGCTTGTTCATTTTTCTCAGGTCCCCGAAGATGTCCAGGCCGGACGCCGGCAGATGCGCCGCCACGCCGCCCGCGCGGCCCATGGCGGAGGTCTCTGGGGGCCGCGGCGGCCCGCCGGCTTCGGGAGTCTCCGACAGCTGCGGAGCACCGGCTCGGTCCCGCCTACCCGTCCCGCGGCCTCGCGGGCCACGTGACGGGAGACTCGCTCGGGCTTCTGGGAGTGGTAGTCACGCGAGTCTAGGCCATCCTCGGGTCTGGGAGGAACCGGGAAGAAGAAAACTACCAGTCCCAGAATGCTTCGGGCCGAGAGACTCGGCCAGTGAAGACCCGGGGCTCCTAGGGAGGGCAACCGCGGGGCTCCAGAGTCCTTTCCGACTCCTGGGAGGAATTTAGGGCCGCGGACGATACTGCACATCTCAAATGCAACTCGAGAAAATGACTACTCTTGACAAATGACGATCCCCAGGACTCTGGTCAGGCGCCAAGAGGACACCTAAATCTCCCTCAGGAATCGCCTAGCCGTGTATTTTGGCCATTGGATGACTGCGGCAAAGGGGGCGGGGCCTCTGCGCCGAAGGCGGGCTCTGCCTGATGGGGGCGGGGCCTAAAGATGGGCGGCCTGTGGGCAGGGTTTAGGAGAGGTGAGAGTTTTGAAATAATGGCAGGATTTAAAGGACGGATGTTTCATTGTCTTGACCATAGTTGTGTCGCAATATATAATAAGTGAATGCGTAAGTAACCACCCAACTTTATACACGAGGAAGCAGAGGCCCAGAAAGATTAAGAGGCAAAGTTTGGATTAAAAGCAAATTTTTAAATTTTGAGTCCGGATTAACACAATCCTGATCCTAGATTACCTTTGGGTCATTCATTCACTCGTTTAGGCACTATTTAATTCATTGATTCACACATCTTTGTGGAGCACTGACTATGCCCCTTTTCACCCACTTGAGAAACATCAGTGAATCAAACTACAAAGATCTTTGCTTTCCGGAAGCTTCCAGGCTACCAGGGGCAGAACTATACAGTTCCTAAAAGGTGGTGGTGCCATGGAAACAGGAAATGCAAATGAGAAAGGTGGGGAGCCTGGGGGAGGGGTGTAGGTTGCAACTTAAAATATGCCAGAAACTGAAATTATGAGGCTAAGGAAAAACTAGCTTTGAGACCTTACACTCACAAAGCCCCTTTCCAAAGGCCTGGGAGAATCGTTGGCCATGTGATTTTGTGAACATTTGAAAATCAAGACACTGGATTAGCTGGTGGGTAGGAGTTCTTCTTCTTTGCACCCCAACTTCTCCATACCATTTCCTGTCCTGTGGGAGAGCTAGTCGTGTGTTGGGGATCCAGCTGAGGAGCAGTGGACTTGATGATAGATTCTGGTTTGGGTTCAGTGGACATACTTATGCGGTGCATGGTCATTTCTTGGCATCTTGGCATAGGAATGGCCACTAGCAGTACTGCTAACAGTTGTGCCAATTCCATTGACATGGTGGCAGGAAGTTGCACTAGAGGTGGCATCTGGTAGGACAGTGTCCTGCAGCACCTGGCCTTGGAAGTGTATGAGTTGGAAAGGAGAAGAAATGTTGGACATGCACAGATCCAGAAGCTGGTCTGTGTAAGGTTCTTCCAAACATCAGCTGTATAAAATTGTAAACAAGTAGGTGCCCCTGAGTACCCAGTTGGATGCAGTGATTGTTAACAGTTGCTGGATCTCAGGTCATGGTACTGGAGCCGTTTAGATGTATTCAGATTCTGGGTGTATTTTAGATAGAGAGAGTCCTCGGGATTTTTCAAAAGGATGGCTATATGGCAAGAGAAAAGACGGGTGGAGGCTGACCCCAGGGGTTTTATCTGGAGGAACTGGAAGAACAGACTAGTCCTCAACTGAGAGTAGGGAAAATCTGCAGGCGGAGCAGGTTTGTGGGAAGAGAGTGGAGGTTCAAGTGTGTGTATACCTTTTCTTGATTAGTGGTCCCTGTGATCTTAGAAATCAGGAAATCAACTCTGACTTCTCCTGCTCTCTCCTGCAACTCTCATCCCTTGTTGAGTTGTTGATCAGAAACCCTGCCAGTTCTCTCCAGATACCTCCTGTATCTTTTCCTTTCCATTCTCTGCCACTGTTTCGCTTGTGTGCCCCCCATCACCCCTTCTTCTCCTTTGGCTCTAGCCATTTCTCTTCCTCTGCTCCCACACCTGACCTCCATACTACTGGACTGTTCTTAACTTGCAAGTCTGGTTGTATTGAGCAAGTCACTGCTCAGAATGGTTCTGCAGTCCCTTATTGCCTTAGAGGTCAAAATCAAAGCTACTTAACCTGGCTGTAAACCCTTTATGTCGCTCCCCGTCTTCGTGGAGGAACGACACAGGACCCTGCGTTGTTCTTTCATCTGCTCGGCCCTCCCCGGGTTTGCTGCTGGTTCTTCCCGGGTTGGCTACCGTCCCTTCCACTTCCGTGGAAGGGCGGTTCCCCCTAGCCACTTTCCCCACTTCCGCGGGGGAGCGGCACACCGCCGGCCGGCTCTCTCGGGGGCTGCACAGGTGTTCCTCTTAGATGTTCCCCTTAGATGTTCCTGGTGCATGTTGTCTCTCTCCTCCTTTATAGTCCTCTTCCGCCAATCCCAACTCGGCTGCCCACACGCCGAGTACGCTGCCCTCCTCCAATCAGGAGCAGGATCAGCTCCTGGAGGTCATCACTCAAGTTGGCAAGAGGCAGCTGCGTAGAAGCTGTTTTCTCCTCTCCCAGCGCCATATTGTGGGAGAGCAGATGCATAGAATAAGTCTTAATTCCAGTAACTTAGTCTAGTCCGGGTTGCTCCCCACACTTTACTATTTGATATTTGCGTGTTTCTCTGGTATTCAGTGGACACCATCTTGCATCAGTGAGACTGAGTGACTACCATGAATTGCCCAACCAAGGAGTTAGGGGGACTTGGGACACCCTCTTTTCCTCATAAGAAGGTGGCACCCAAGCCTTGTTTCCTGCATGGCCAGAGACCACCTCCCTCTGACATGATGACTTGAACTTCCCATCACTCCAAATGTCCTGGCATGCAGGGCAGCTGGCTTTCCCAGAAAATTCTTCTAAGTACCTGGCATCACAAATCCAGCCTGGTGCTATGCCACTTGCTTATTCTGCTACTGACAAGAATATTTTCTCAGGACTGGCATTGTGACACAGTGTGTCAAGTTGCTGTCTGTGATACCAGCATCCTGTATGTGTGCTGCTTGAAGTCTCAGCTGCTCCTCTTCCAATCCAGCTCCCTAATAATATGCCTGGGAGGCAGCAGAATATGGTCCAAGTACTTATGCCTCCACCACCCATGTAGGAGACCAGGATGGAGTCCCCAGCTCCTGGATTCATCCTGGTCCAACCCTAGCCACTGCAGCCATTTGGGGGATGTGGTGGAATGAGAAGGCCATGCTAAGATGGCAGCTGGCAAGCGAGCATCAGTTACTCAGGAATGGCTTTGAAACCCACCTGGCAATGGAGCCTGCCTGGAAACAGGCTGTGATTAGATGGCTTCAGATACTGCCTGGCAACAGGCTGTGATTGGTTAGGGCATAGACTGCCCCTTGACCAGATTGGCTGCTTTGGCTATATAAGCTGTTGTACCAACTGAAATAAACGAGTCTGCAGGCTGCTCGCCTCAGGTCTGCTTTCACCTGACTCCTGGGTTCTGTGTGGTGACTCCATGCCTCTTGCCCCCACCATGCTCCTCCTCCCAGAACAAATCCACAGCAACAGGGTGGTGAACCAGTGGATAGAAGAAATTCTCTCTCTCTCTCTCTTTCTCTGTCACTGCCTTTCAAACAAATAAAATAAATTTTAGAAAAAGGAATATTTTCACCTACTTGGTCCATAAGGTCTTTCCCAAATAAGCTCAGGCTCCAGCCACTGGAACAGAACCCATTCCATGATCCCATGTCCATTACACACCATAGCTCAGGCTTCTCCATGGGGAGCAAAGCAAGCCTGGGAAAATGCACGACCCTCTGCTTGCAAACCTTGGCTTTGTGAGTTTTTTCTACCCTTCCAAAACCTGGATCTTAACCTGTGTCCTGTGACTTTCTGGAATTCATTCAACCTTCTTGCAGGACAGGGAACAACCTTAAACACACACACACACAAGAGAGAGAGAGAGAGAGAGAGACTGAGAGAGAGAGAGAGAGAGAGAGAGAGACCAACCTCAGTCTGATCTCTAACCTTTCCTCTTATAACAGTCTTGTTGAATTCTTTCTGGTTCTCTGAATGCCCATGCTGTCATAACTCCCTGCCTGTTTTATCTGGAGGATTCCCTGTTTGTTAACACCCTCTTTTTGCCCCAGTTTTCTGTCTACTCCCTGGAAGAAGCAGATCAAACCCTACTTCTGTGGGGAAAAGCTGTTTCCATGGAACGCTCGGATGCCCCCGTCCTATGACACGTCTGTTCACTGGGCACTCCTCTCTATACCCACTCCCAAATGCTCCCCCCTCCCCATAAAGCTATGTGATTCTCTAGGGTGGAAATTGAGTCTCTAATCCTGCATCTCCAGCAGCAGGTACAATGCCTGGCAGGTCGTAGGTGCTCAATTTTTAAAAACAAGTCCCATCCACTACCCTTCTTTATCCTACTTTGTGATACTAGAGCTGGATCTTGTGAACATTTCCTCATTGTCAGCTAGAATATAACATTGGCTTTTTTCCCTTTTTAAAAAAGTTTTATTTAAGTTATATAAGTGTCATGTATGTCATATATACAGATTGAGGAGCATAGTGATACTTCCTTTCCTACCCTCCCTCACACCCAAGCTCCAACCTCTGCCCTCTCACATTCCCACTCTTAATTTTTACAAAGATCTATTTTCAGTCTACTTAATGATCGTATAGTTAACCCTACACTAAGTAAAGAGTTCAACAAATCACGTGAAGAAAAAAAAGCTGTTCCTCAACAGAAGAGACAAGGGCTGTAAACAATCATCAAATCTCAAAATGTCCATTTCACTCCTAAAC